TTGTTTATTGAATTCTCTAGATTCTGGTATCCTGACTCCTGGCTTTCCTCATCGCTGTGTCCCTTTCTGTGTTCCCTGACCTCGGCTAGTATTTTTGACTATTCTTTGTACGCTAAATCCGGCCATTCTAAGGACCGGTAATACGTTACTTATTTGTCATCCGTGCTGTACAGTTCTACGTGCTGGATCAAACAGTAAGCCTAACACCCCTTCACGCAGAGAGTAACCCCAAAAGAGACGTATTCGGGACCTTAGGGTGGTCGGGCTCAACGTCAAAGAAATAGCCAGAGGTCGAGGAAGTACAGACATCGGAATACACAAGAAATAACCAAGCCAATAATCGGGGGACCAGAGAGGAGAGGAGTCAGTAAGGAAAGCCAAGAGTCAAAATACCAGAAAACAGACAAAAATCGCAAGAGCACTAGAGGGAACACACAAGAAGCACACTAGGGCGCTGAAGAAATGACAGGGGCGCCCCCTTATATAGTGGGGTGTCTTACTTTAAAGCCACGCCCCTAAAAGGTTTGGGAGCGTGGCCACGTTTGAATTTCCGCGGCAATATTCTGATGACGTCGGCGCGCATGCGCCGCGTCATAAGAAGAGGCGTGCTGCAAGCGGCCAGCGTTAGACATACTGTGCTACCTCCCGGAAGCAGCAATTGGTTACAAAATGCTCTCCAGAACCTGGAAATAAATTGCGGACCTCTGTCTGAAACTATATCCACAGGTATAACGTGCAAACAAACCCTTATAAACAAAGTGGCCAGTTCAGAGGATGAAAGTAATTTAATAAAAGGGACAAGATGGGTCATCTTAGAAAATCTGTCTGTCTGGGGGCGTGGCTACCGGCGGAGCAAGATGGACGTGTAATCTCTAGCTCCTGCACATGGGCTCCGACAAAGGCGTCTCAAAACCCGCAATAGACGACCCTGACAAGTCAAAAACGAACATGTCACAACCCAAGCAGAAAAGGCAAGCCTCCAAAACCGAAAAACAAAATATACAAACCAGCAGCACCAACAAGATGGCGGGGAGGAAACACACGACAGCAACCTCCTTACAGACCCTGCCGACCAGACTATGGAAGAGCCGGTCACCAAGCAATTTCTTTTGGAACAGCTGGGAGCGTTCTCCAGCAAAATGATGGCTGGCTGGGAAAAAGGCCTATCAAGCCTGAAGAAAGACATAGGGGAGCTGGGAGCGAGAACCTCCCGCGTGGAGGAGAGGATAGAGGAAACACAAGAGGCACACAACCACCTAATAGACCAGGTGAACGCACTGCAAGCCACAGTATCCACAATGGAGAACAAGCTCATGGATATTGAAGATAGGGCGAGGAGGAATAATCTACGACTGCGGGGCATACCAGAAACGGTGGCCCCTGCGGACCTCCAGGCCTACGTGCACGAATTTTTCCATGTGCTCTCGCCAGACACACCGCCAGACATGCTCCTCTTGGATAGAGTACACAGAATACCTAAACCTTCACACCTACCACCCTCAGTCCCAAGGGATGTCATCCTGTGCGCTCACTACCATCATATTAAAGAAATAATCTTAAAACAGAGCAGAACAAATAAAAACGCACCTGGCAAATACGCTGATATAAAGATATTCCCGGACCTATCCGCGGCGACGCTGAGAAGGAGGAAAGCCTTCCAACCCATCACTATCATCCTCAGGCAGCACCAAATAGCTTACCGGTGGGGTTACCCCCTCAAGCTTCTCATCACCAAAGACGGCGCGACGAAGATATTGGCCTCGCCAGAAGATGGTGAAAAGCTCCTCAAAGAATGGAACTTACCCACACCAAGCAAGCCGACTAGAGAATCTGCCATGCTGCATTGCGAATGGCACAAAGTATAGTATCAATAGACTTATACCAGCCAATCTGGACTGATAATAAGATATAACGAGTAGAGGCTGGTAATGTATATAATGAACCAATTGTTTATGTTTGCTTATGTTAATTTTGTTAACTTTGTGACACCTCAACCCGCACATTTCAATGGCACAGACAACACCTACACGCACGCCAACGCACACTCGAACCCCGAATGCCAAAAGTAGACCAAATGTAGCTCAGATTTACCCCCTACCTAATTGAGTAGGCACACCCACCAACCCACACCTAAGACAAAAGGGTTATGGATAACCTACTGACCCTAACCTGCTGGAATTGAAGTGAAGCTGAATTGCAGACGCAAAGTTAGCTGCACCACAACCTGAATGCCTATCTAAGATTGTACAACTGAAAAAAAAAAAAAAAAGTTAATATTATTATTACTCTACTACTGTATATTAGAATCAAACGGAGCAAGAGGTCGGGGGGAAGGTGGGGACACGCTAACCAAAATACCCCGACACGAAGCACAGCACAGACGCACTAGCATTCTTAGTACAAGAAGCTGTGGCAGCTTTCCCCAACACACTGTAGCAATTGCCGGGGTGATATAAATTGAGAAAAAAAAAAACAGCACTTGCACTCCCTCTGGCCTCGGTACCTATACTAAGATAAGGCACCAAACCCATAATCAGGGATACTAGCTTGGCATGAATTTCGGGGCATATGATAATACCTAAACAATGAAGGAGCCCAGGCAGCCTCCTTCGTGAGCAGAAAGTACATGCTCACCACACCCCAGGTACTACCAAGGAGTACCGAGCCCTACATCTGGGCATTGTTGTACATAGTTGAGCTCTCTACGAGACTCAGGTTTATACCCCACCTATCCTTACCCCTAGTTGCAAACCATGAGAAGGATCAAGAACCCACTACACCCAAACCTATGCATATCAAGCAAACAGTCCGCAAGTCGCTCATCACCAGGCACACACCATGGCTGGCATACCGAGGCAGACTATCACTAAACATTATACTGAACTACTCAACAACAGATGAAGAATTCCAACCTGCCCAACCCCATAATGAAAATATATTCACATAATGTAAGGGGCCTAAATACCCCCCAAAAACGCCAAACATTGCGCACAGAACTGAAAAACCACAACGCGGATGTGATCTGCCTCCAAGAAACTCACTTCAAAAGGCAGACATCTCCTTCCTTGGACCCTTCACAATTCCCAAACCAATACCACTCCACACATAGCCACAAATCTAGAGGAGTTAGCATTCTAATACACAAATCAGTGGCATTTGATCCACTCAAAATAGTTAAAGACGCCAATGGGAGATACCTCATCCTAATATGCAACCTCAATGATGTCACATACACCATAGTCAATATCTACGCACCAAACGACAATCAATGGCACTTCCTACATAAAATACTGACTAAAGTGAGTACTGTACAACAAGGCATAGTAATATACTGCGGAGACCTAAACCACACCCTAGACCCAGAAATGGACACTACACTAGACGCAAAAAAACCCAGACTGGCATCTCTTAGACCGGCCTGCGCCAAACTTAATAAACTGCTAATTCAATTTAACTTATACGATGTGTGGCGCACACTACATCCAGGAGATAAGGACTACACCTACTACTCCCAAGTGCACAAGACCCACTCTAGGATAGATCATTTTTTCATGACCAGCACAGGATTACCACACACGCACCAATGCATACATGGAGATATTACATGGTCGGACCACGCCCCAGTGATACTGACACTCGCTGACGCATTCACATACAAAGGCAAAGGCTCATGGAGACTAAACAACTCACTGCTTCACGACCAAGACTTCACCCTCACACTAGACCAAGAACTTAAACAATACTTTACTACTAACGAGAACCCCCAGACCACGGCCCCGATTCTGTGGCAAGCACACAAATCAGTCGTACGAGGACTGTTGATCCGCAGAGCATCATATCTCAATAAACAAAGACGTGCAACACTGATGAAACTGCTCATACAATTAAGAGATATGACCCAAACTTATTACCAAACAAAAAAACAGGATCTCCTATCGGAAATCCAAAACATCACCTCCAAAATTAATGACCACCAATTCCAAAAAACGGCATACATTCTGAAAAAATTCAAAATGAACCATTATGCGAAAGGGAACAAGGCTAGCAAACTGCTGGCCAACATGTTACGCAAAAAGCAATCTAACTCCAAGATTCCATACATTCTCTCAAAAAGTAACCAAAAACTATGGAATCCACAAGACATGAATAGGGAACTAGTGACCTTCTATAACACCCTCTACAATCTAAAAGCAGATGAAACCCTATATCAACCAACTGTCGCAGACATTGAGGGATACCTACGACAAATACCACTGCCAACACTGACAGAAGAACAAAAACACAAACTGTCGGAACAGATCTCGATAACTGAACTGACGGACGCAATTGCCAGACTACCTACAGGGAAATCCCCGGGCCCAGACGGATTCACGAATCAATACTACAAAACTTTCGCACCCACACTCGTTCCTTACATGAAACAAACCTTTCAATCCATAATACACACGGGGACGATCCCACAGGAAATGCTCATAGCCCATGTAGCCACACTACCCAAACCAGGGAAACTCCCAGACAAAGGACAGAACTTACGCCCAATCTCACTTCTTAACACAGATCTTAAATTGCTGGCGAAAATATACTCGAATAGACTAGCTGCAATGCTTCCAGACTTGGTCCATGAAGACCAAGTTGGCTTTATAAAGGGAAGGCAGGGCACTGACGGTACTAGGAAAGTTTTAGACATACTATACAGCATACACAAACGGAAAACGGGATGCCTATTCCTGTCACTTGATGCCGAAAAGGCTTTTGATAGGCTGAATTGGGACTTTCTCAGAGCGACCTTAACGAAGTTCGAATTCCCACCAGAGTTCATGAACAAAATACAGGCTTTATATAGCAATCCCACCGCTAGACTCATCAACGCAGGGTTCCTGTCGGATCCATTTGAGATCACAAATGGGACCAGACAGGGATGCCCCCTCTCACCCCTATTATACGTACTAGCGTTAGAACCTCTCACGACTCTCATTAGACAACACCCATTAATCCTAGGCGTCAAAACACAAAACAAAGAACATAAACTTACACTATTCGCGGACGATGTACTACTGACGTTACAAGACCCCGAAGCCTCCCTACCACATTTCCACTCTACACTAGAAAACTATAGTAAAATGTCCTATTACAAACTAAATATTTCTAAGACGCAAGCTCTTTGCAAAGGTCTCCCCCCAGAGGTCACTTATAAACTAAAAAACACCTACACATACGACTGGAGAACTGACTACATTACATTTCTAGGTATACGGTTCACAAAATCACACACCGCATTATTTAACGCCAATTATGGCAAACTCAGTATAGAAATAAAGAAACAACTAAAGAATGGAAAACATCATTCATATCCTGGTCGGGACGCATGGTAGCGATCAAGATGATAATTCTCCCTAAGTTGTTATACCTTTTCAGATCACTTATGATACATATACCCGCCACTTACTTTACCACAATCCAACGCTGGATATCCAGATTTGTTTGGAATGACAAAAGGGCACGTATAGCCCTAAAGGTACTGCAGTTACCGCTCAAAGAAGGGGGTATGAATCTGCCAAACCTTAAACAGTACTACCATGCAACCGTACTTAGCAGCATCATCCAAACACGACCAGGCGCACAAGCACCTCAATGGAAGCACCTAGAAGCAGAATGGGCCAATAATATTAGTACTGACAACTTAGTGTGGATACCGAAACTTACCCGGCCGCAACTACGAGATTGCCTACCAACCACAACATTATCACTAAAAATATGGGACGGAGCCCGTCCCCTCCTAACAAATAACTCAATCCTTTCCAAAGCCATGCCACTTAAATCAATAGCACACATTATCCCCGATTTTAACTACAGAATATGGGAAAGACACGGCATACAATTTCTACACCAGATACTCACCAATACGGGACTAGCAACCTTCGCCTCATTACAGACCTCACATAAGCTCCCAACGGTAGCACATTATTCATACCGCCAATTAGACTCATGGTTGCGCATACAAATTCAGGAGAAAACAATCAACACTCAGACACAAAAGATGACAGAATTTGAGGAAATGTATATTAGCCCCACACCGCCCCAGAAAGTCATATCCTCCATCTATACAACACTACCCACAAAATGAAAACTGCACAAACACAGATTTATCAAAGCGTGGGAAACAGAAACCCACAAAAAATTTACTGAATCGGAATGGGAACGCATGATCCTAACCCCCAAATCCTTCATGTTATGCTCAAAACACATAGAGCTTGCCAAAAAACTCCTATATAGATGGTACCTCACACCCATACGACTACACAAATATAATCAATCCCTTCCAACACACTGCTGGAGATGCAAATCAGGCACAGGAACAATGGCACACATATGGTGGACCTGCCCATACCTGCAACAATACTGGAAAGACATATCCAAAATCATCACACACAGTACAGGATGCACCCTACCTCATAATTTGGACAACTATGTGCTCTTCAATATCCCAGAGTCGCTACCTAAACCAGATAGGTACCTCATCTTCCATATAAATATAGTAGCCCTAGGCGCCCTAGCACAAAACTGGCTATCACAAACTATACCCTCCATCCCCATGTGCATACAACAAATAAGCCACGCGGGCCACTTTGAATCCACAATGAGAAGGCAAACCACTTCTCCCAACAAACCACACAAACTGTACCGAAGATACTGGGAAATAGCATGGGATAAGTGGGAAACATACAAAAATGACACAACAGGGAACCTCCCATCGTGAGCTGATGTCGTGACTGACCTCAACCCACACGAGGCCAGAATACTTACCAAAGCATACCCCACCAGACGGGAATGCCAAAGTAACTGACCACAAGGAGTACGACCACTCCATACAACACTAGAGGTCCAAAGGTGAACTTGAAGAGCAACCGGAATAACCCTCAAATGACTCCAAGCACAAATCAAGCCCCCAGGGGGAATTATGGCAAACAATACCACTGAAGCATAGGGTCAGGCCCTAGTTCTCTCCCTCTCATCTACTCCAAGAGTACGGGAAAAGTATATATCCCAAAGGCCAATGCACGAATGCCACTGCCTTGCACGGTTTAACAGTTATTATGTGTACTCCAACAAATGTAATTACAGAGACTGTATATGACGACTAACTTGTACACACTCTTTATGGAATTGCAACTACCCCCTTCCCCACCCCTCCCTTCTTTTTTCTGTATCCTCATCCTTAAAGAATGACAAAACAATAAAAATTGTCAAATTAAAAAAAAAAAAAAAAGAAAATCTGACTATTATAGTCAGTATTACTCTGTGATTCTTGGAAAGGGGTAGGTCCACTACGAAATCCATGGCGATACTCGATCAGGGCTTATCGGGAATAGGAAACGGCATGAGGAGATCTAATGGACGACCCTTAGGAGATTTATTAGAGGAACAGATGTTACAGGCTAGAAGAAATTCTTGAACATCTTTCTTGTATGAGGGCCACCAGAATTGCTTTTCAAGTAAAGATTCAGTCTTATGGATACCGGGATGACCGGCGAATTTGGAGTTGTGCACCAAGGACAAGACTTTTCTTCTATATGCCAAAAGGTACGTATAATTTTACCCAAAGGAATAGTCAAAGAGATATGATCGTGGAATTTGGATAATTCCAACATTAAACCAGAAGAGATCTTAGCATGAACTGTGGCTACCATGTGATAGGCAAGGATCATGGAGGACAAATGGGTTTCGGGAGGAGATAGATGTTCACGTTGTCGGGATAGGGCATCAGTGTTAGTATTCTTAGATCCTGGTCTATATGTCACAATGTAATTAAAGTGTGTTAAAAACAAATACCAACAAATCTGTCTGTCAGACATTCTTTTAGCCTCTCCGATATAGGAAAGGTTTTTATGGTCAGTAAGAATGGTGATCGGTACAGGTGACCCCTCTAATAGATGATGCCATTCCTTGAGAGCTGAAATAATAGCTAACAGCTCCTTATCTCCTATATCATATCTTTTTTCCGTTTCAGTCAGTTTCTTTGAAAAAAAAACAAAAAACACAGGGATGTAGATGTTGATCATTCGAGGGTCTCTGAGATAGTACAGCCCCTACCCCAGTCTCCGATGCATCTACCTCTAACAGGAAGGGACATGAAGGATCGGGATGTCTTAATACGGGCGCTGAAGAAAAAGCTATTTTTAACTTCTCAAAAGCTTCCCTAGGTTCGAGACTCCACTCCATATGATTCCTACTTTTTTTGTGATGGCGGTAATAGGAGCGGTAATAGAGGAAAACCCCTTGATGAATTTCCTGTAATAATTAGCAAATCCCAGGAAACGTTGGATGGCCTTAAGTCCAACGAGTAAGGGCCATTTTAAGATTGCTTCCAGTTTTTTGGGTTCCATTTGAAAACCCGAACCTGAAATTATATAACCTAGGAAATTAACCTTTTCCATGTCAAACAGGCACTTTTCTAATTTACAATAGAGTCCTTACTTCAATAATTTAGATAGAACCAACCTGACGTGCCTATGGTGTTCCTTAATACTCTTTGAGTAGATTAGTATATCATCTAAATAAACAACGACAAACATTTGTAGACAATCTCTTAATACATTGTTTAGAAAATCCTGGAAGACTGCAGGGGCGTTGCATAGGCCGAAGGGAATAACCCTGTATTGGTAATGGCCATAGCGAGTATTGAAAGCAGTCTTCCACTCATGTCCTTTCTTGATTCTAACTAAATTGTATGCACCCCGTAAATCCAACTTAGTGAATATGGTTGCTCCCTTATTAGAGGTATAGTTATTAGAGGTATAGGATAAGCGTTTCGTATGGTTATTTTGTTTAAACCCCGATAGTCGATAAAAGGTCTCAAATCTCCCTCCTTTTTAGAGACAAAGAAAAAACCGGCCCCAGCCGGGGAGGAAGACTTAGTAATAAAACCCTTTCTTAAGTTCTCTGTGATGTACTCTTCTAGTACTTTATTTTCAGCCACAGAGAGGGGATACACGGCACCCCTAGGGGGCATAGTACAAGGTAACAAGTCAATAGCGCAGTTGTATGAACGATGGGGTGGTAACTTTTCTGCCTCCCTTGGTTCAAAGACCGCCTTTAGATCCAAATATTGTTTGGGTATTTGGGTGGTTAAGGATTCCATAGTAGGAACATTAAGTAGACCTACAGGCTTGACTTGAATAATATACTCTGTAAAATTGGGTGATTTTTGTTTTAAAATCTCTTTTCTCTTCCAGTCTATTAAAGGATTGTGCTAGGTTAACCAAAGAAAACCAAGTATAACAGGAAAGGTGGGAGAAGTTGTTTGCTGTAGAGTTATAATTTCCTGATGCAAGGAACCTACACTCAAGACTAAGAGATTAGTTTCTTGAGTAATAAAAGGGATTGACAGTGGTCTACCATCTATGGCCTCAACGGCCAAGGGTGTTGATCTTTCTCGAAATGGGAGATCATGACGCTGACCGAATTTGCGATCAACAAAATTCTCGGCTGCCCCAGAATCTATTAACGCAATGGTTGTTACTTTCTTTTCCTCCTATTCGATAATTACTGGTAGAAGAAGCCTGAGATCTTTTTTGTCAACGAAGGAGGACATATACATTACACCCAAGGCCTGTCCTCCTAGAGGGCTTAGGTGCTGGGGTTTTCCGGCCTGCTTGAACAGGTTAAGCGGGAATGCCCTCTCTTCCCACAATACATACAAAGTCCCTCCCTTCATCTATATAGTGTCTCGGTCTCAGACAACCGCGTGGTTCCCAATTGCATTGGTTCTGCGGGAGCGACGGCGGTTGCCTCAGACGAAGGGAAGGTTAAGGCCAGAAATTCCGGCACACGTCTAGGTCTATCCCTGGTGTTTTGCCTATGCCGGAGACGTTCATCAATATGAGCTAAGTAGGTGATTAATTCTTCTTATACATTAGGTAGATCTCTGGTAGCCACTTCATCTAAAAGCTTATCAGAAAGTCCATTCATGAACACATCCACAAAAGCCTGCTCATTCCATCTAACCTCGGCAGCATGAGTGCGGAATTCTAGGGCATAGTCGACCAGAGAACAATACCCCTGTCTCATTCGTAATAGGGTTTTGGCGGCATTAGTTCGTCTCCCAGGGGGATCAAAAGTTCTCCTAAAGGCCGCGACGAACTCCGCATAGTTGAAAACTATGGGATTGTCGTTTTCCCCACAAAGGATTAGCCCAAATGAATGCCCTATCAACTAACAAGGTTATTATGTAATCAATCTTCGATCTATCGGTAGGATAAGCTCTAGGATGAAGCTCAAAATTAATGCTGACCTGATTTAGGAAACCACGGCATCCTTTTGGA